AAGGATTTTCACAAACGACAGATGACTCGTTGCTTGGTAAACATCTTTAGCAGATGCTTCTGTCCAAAGCTGCATACTACTGAGAAAGCAGAGCCAGTCAGTCCCTGGAGCGATGGGGGGGGGGGGGTTTGCTCAGGGGCTCAACGGTGAAATTGTTCTGCTGACCCTGGGATGTGAGTCCTAACCTGCTGTTACCTGATCGGTATTTCAGCAAATGGTCCACATAGGGGGATGTGGTGCTTTGTCAGCCCCCTGCTGATGGCCATGATGCCAGTGTAACTTGTTAATATGGGATGTGTTACAGTGACACACAATGGCAGTGGCTCTTTAGAAGTGGGTGTCTTTCACCGATGGGTTTTTTTTTTTTAAATCCCAGAATCGGCACTTTGGGGCTGAATACTGAATTCCTGTTCTTGTATATTCACTTAATTGAAACTTTGAAGTAAAATGAAACAATTACACCATTTTATGCAATTATGCAAAATATAAATAATTTCCATTTTTTCACACATGTTGTTTTACTTCCAATTGTTTGAATTATCATCTCTTTTGGTGTTTTTTGGATTCTTAAATTTAAGCGTGAGGATCCGGGTTTTGTTAGGAATCTGATCGCCACACAGCCTCGATATTCTCGCGTGTCGCTAGCCTCAGTACCTAATACATTTTTCATCTAGATATGTCTTTGTTTCAGCAGAGCCATTGAGCTCTTTTACGAGGAGCAACATTTGTTGTGATTCTGATTACAATAAAGCTGCCGGTAACGTCTGCGGCGTCTTTGCATGGAAACCGCTTGCATCTAGATACATCCCTATTGTTCTTGTTTCCTTTTTACCCGAACATAAGTCCTGTCAATCATCTCCAGGGGAAACGGGTTGGATTGCATCCGTGAGCCGGTGCCCCTCTTCTGTCCCGATATTTATTTTACACCATATCCGTATCTGGGAGGTATGAAGTCATACGTGCAGGTATGTCGGCCTGAGACGCTGCTGATCGTCCTCCAAGAAAAGCTGGCTACAGTGCGCTCGCTCGTTCGCCCATCTGCGGGCTTGGAAGCCCCCCCCCCCCCTTCCCCGTCTGACAGGATCGAGAGGATTGCTTCCAGACGGCGGTACAGGGACACCCTGTTCATCTGGCACGGGGAGCACTGACCTCCCCGCCTGTGGGTTCGAAGTCTCCTCAGCCTCCTGTTTTTTTCTTCTGCCTTTTCATGCACCCGGGAGGGAGAGCCGGAGCTAGACAGAGGCCACGTCGACAGGGAAGGGAGCGCCCCGCTGCATGGGTCCCGTTTCAGCCCGGCTGCTGGACGGCAGCCACGCTGAAGGCAGAGGGCCAGAGACCTTTACAGTCCTGCCTTTATAGTGCTGGGCTCTGGCAGCTTTCAGCTCCATTGCAAGCTGCTCTGCAAGTGATAGTTACACGCGGGTATCTCTCCTGTAGTAATGTTTAAAAGCCATGATTCGGTTCCCACAATGCAGTACATCCAGCAGGTAGAGATGTGTGCAGTCCCCTGTGCAACCAGCAGGTGGCGGAGTGGTTAAGGCTAAATAGGTTAAATGTCACAATGACACATAGGATAAATGTCCCAGAAGAGGCCATGATTTCATACTGCTGAGTCCCCCCCCTCCCCCCACAGAAAAACATGGCATTTCCGATGACTCATTCCTGAGGCCCCAGTGCAGTACACATGTGAGGCACCCCCCCCCCCCCCCCATTCCAATGTGCCCCCTACCCAACCACCGTCTGCCCAGAAAGGACCAGAGGGCCATACACCTTACAGCCTGTGACCAGCTCAGTCTGCTTGTCTGTCTGGTTGTCCTACTGGATCTGTCTGAAGAGCTACACAGTCTCTGTGCATTTCAGTAGTAATACTACTACTACTAATTATAATGATGATAATAATAATAATGCATATATTCAATGCATTATATTCATACAGTGCTTTCCAAAACCGAAAGATGCTTGCAGTATTCAGTAATTCTGAATTAGACAGAAACAGGGACTTACAACCAGCAAACTGTGTTATTATTTTTTCTTTCTCTTTTAGCAAAGGTGGGGGGGGTTGGTGCTGTACTTTTCTTCAAGAAGCTGTCTTCTTGCCCCACGTTTTGGAGGGCCAGCACTCCTCCTTGGTCCCTGAGAACGAGCTCAACAGCAGATCCCCCCCCCCCCCCCCCACCCTTCTTTCCTCCGGTGCAGTGCCGGGCACAGAAGCAGTCACCCACTCTCAGTGGTGCTCAGTGGCATTTGGCGAACTAGCCAATTAAAAGGCTTTGTTTTCTCCCTGAGAATGGGCAGGCGAGGGTGGGGGGGGAGGGCAGGCAGAAGGCAGCGTGGCGGACAGGCTTGGTGCCTGCGGGTGGGTAGTGTGACACGCCTCATGCTGCCTGCTGTGCGGCAGCAGTCACAGCCGTGTCATGTTACACGCTGCAGTGACATGCGTCCTGCATCGTCTTTCTGTGTTTGATGTGTGTCTTCAAAGACGCATATCAAGTGTCCAGCAGTTAGGCCCCTACCCTGCTTCCAGACTCTTCTGAGGGTCCCAGGGTGCGTCCGGCGGCTCGGATGGGGAGTGTCCATTGGGGCAAAGGGGGACTATTCAGCAGCTCACTGGGGGAGTGTCCAGCAGCTTACATGAGGAGTGTCCAGCAGCTTGCAAGAGGAATGTCCAGCGGCTCACTGGGGGAGTGTCTGTCGGCTCGCAAGGGCAGTGTCCGGCAGCTTACATGAGGAGTGTCCGACGGCTCATAAGGGGAGTGTCTGGCAGCTCACAGGGGGAGTGTCTGGCGGCTTCAGGGGGAGTGTCCGGTGGCTCATAAGGGGAGTGTCTGGCAGCTCACAGGGGGAGTGTCTGGCGGCTTCAGGGGGAGTGTCCGGTGGCTCATAAGGGGAGTGTCCGGTGGCTCGCAAGGGGAGTGTCCGGCGGTTCGCAGGGGGAGCGTCTGGTGGCTTGCAGGGACAATGTCCAGTGGGACACATTGGGAGTGTCCAGTGGCTCACAGGGGGAGTGTCCAGTGGGGCAATGGGAGAGTGTCCAGTGGCTCGCAGGGGAGTGTCCTGCAAGACACAGAGGGAGTGTCCAGTTGGGCAAAGGGGGAGTGTCCAATGGTGAATAAGGGGAGTATCCAATGGCTTCCAGGGGGAGTGTCCCTCCGGTGGCTCACAGGGGGAGTGTCCAGTGGGGCACAGGGGAGTATCGGGCAGTGCACTGCGCGTAGGGACCCACCTCGCAGCCGTATACTTCCCATCACAGTCACTGGCCACATGGCGGCTTAATGAACCTTCATCCTCTACCATTCTTATACCGGCCTTTAATGTTATCCCTACATCTCATGTTTTTTTTTTATTTATTTTACTGACCAAACATCTGCAGTTTTTAAATATATTGATGACATGCATATCATTTTCAGTCATTAGGGTTCTGTTGTGGTAATGATGATGATTTTGGTGATGATGATGATTATTATTATTATTATTATTATTTTCACATGGTGTTAATGATAGATAGTGACTTAATCCTGATGCGGTGTAGGTTACCTAACCCAGCTCCCTGTCCTCTGCAGGTCAATTAAATTGGCCAGCATTAATGGCGAGATACTCTGCAGAGGCAAGAGAAAGACAATGGGGAGACGGAGCATCCGGGAAGGCCTGGAATGCGCGAGCGGCCCGTTTCCATGGCAACCGGTTCTGGTGTGCCAGTGCTGCGCAAATGGGGAGCGTGCACGCGTGTGTGTTTGTGTGCATGTGCTCTGTGTGTATGTGTGAGCGCTTTGGTAATTATTTGGTTACTTATGTGAGAGTCCCCACAAAGATATAATTATAAAAACTGTGTGTGTATGGGTGCATGTCTGTGTGTGTGTGTGTTTGTGTGTACGGGTGTGTGTGTGTGTGTGTGTGTGTGTGTGTGTCTGCTGTGGGCCGCTGAGCTCTGATGTTTACTGAGACCCACGGTGCCCAACGGCCAATCAGGGCCTCTCCAGGGTGACTCAGGTCCATCTGATTTGACGGTTCTCCTTGCCGGGGACAGGCTTCCAAATTCCTTTGTTGCTGAAGGTTAGACCTCGAGGGCAAATACCCACCCTCCCAAAATAAAATCCAAACTGCTCATTATCTGCTTGCCTTGGGGGTGAATGGCGGGTTTGATTACCTGTGGGCCCACCAGACGTTACAGTCCCATTTACCTCATTTTCTGTGCTCATGTGTGCAGCTTCCCTCTGAGTACTGGCGCTGGTGGGGGGTGGGTCGATAGGCTGGCTTGTCACAGCGCATCACGACCTCCTGACAAGGCGGCTGGGGTGGCATTTGGGGTCACATGGGTTCCTGACCTGACAGGGTTGTCCTGGGGGGTGGGTTCCTCACCTCTCAGGATGGGTCTGATCTGACTATTAAACAGCAGACTTGTCGCGGGCACGTATCACAAGGGTGTGATTTCCTCATAGAGCAGGCCGGGCGTCTCCTCCGCGAGTCCCCTCGCCTCCTTGCAGGCTCGGCACAGCAGACGCGGCTCTCCCTCGCACCGGGACTTCCTCCCACATCAGCGCGAAGCCAGCAGAGTGACGAGCAGAGCCGACTAAATATAAAGTGGCGACTAATTCCGTAAACAAACCCCCCGTTTCCACGGATGGCCGCGTTTGCCAGTTATCTGCCGCTAATTATGTACCAGCTCAGCCTGGCTTTCACGCTCCCTCCTCAGACGGGACTTTTTGTTTGCGTGCTTTTCCGTGAAATCCCTTAAGTGACAGACTATTCCTGAAACTGACTCTGCGTTTTTATTCAGGCTGAATCTGTAACTTCGAGTCCTTTGTTTCCTTTCTCTATGCAGATCTGTCCTCCTCTCGCCTGTCTGGTCTTAGGCTTCCTTGCTGTGCTTGACTGTCTGTACAATTTGCCCCACCCCCAGACCCAATTTGCCCTGCCCCCAGAAATCTTTGCCCCACCCCCAGACCCCTTTGCCCTATCAGCTCTCTCCATGTCCTAATCAGAGGCTCCTCCTCTTTCCACAGGTCAGCTTGTCGGGCGACTCCAGCTGCGTGGAGGACATTCTCCGGGTGAGTCCAACGCTCTTCGTGACCCCCCCCCTGTCCCCTGTCCCATGTTAATTACACATAGTTACCAGCAGGACCCTGCTAGTGATCCTCTTATCCCCCACGAAAGGTGCCAGAGCTCTAAGAAGAGCCGTGTGACAATTAGCGAGGTGTGTTCCACCACGTGCCCGTCCGTGCGCGCACCGGGATGGGGCCGTGTGGTTTTCACTGTGCTGTTTGTGCTGCGTGGGCGAGGCCTTGAGGCGGCGGTGACGCTGGCATTCCCGAGGCCCCCGCCGCGTGCTGGCACTGTCTGGTTGTTTATCGCCGTGGAGACAGGAGGCTTTTCAAGTTGGGGACTGGAGGCCTCCACATGGACCCTTCTCCCGGGGCCACAGGGCCACCAACAGAAATGACAAGGTGGCCGTCAGCACCCTGTGGCGGAAGAAGAAGGGGGTGGTAAAGGTTGCTGGGCAACAAAGCATTTAGCCTCCACATGTGACATGGGTGTATCAGACATGGAGTTTCTTAGGGCTCCTCTTGTAAGGGATTAAATCAAATGGGCCTATCAATGCCAAACCAGTCATTACAAATCAGAGCACTTCCAGGTCATGTGTGGGATGTTTCAGTTTCCTGTCTTCCCATAATCCTCCTAGGGCCAGATGTTCTCTGTAAGTGATTAACTGTTGTGTGTCTTCATTTACGTCTGTCCTGTCTCTCCATATAACTGTTCTTGGCCTTCCAGAAAAGTCTGTCCGGTGTAGTTACACAGTAATACCCTATGGGCAGACTGGCCACCTCTGGACAAAAGTGGTCTTCGTTCAGAGTTTACTCTTTCAGCCAGCTTAAAAGCCTGTTAAGCGATCTTGCTTGTCTAATTGGTCATCAAGACTTATACCCACAAAATCACTGTCCCACCCCCCATCTTGCATCGCTATTATTATTATTTTTTAGTCCAGTGTAATTAATCTTGAACATGAATGAGGTGAAAACATGAAGGGTGGTTTCAGCCTGTGATTATTCAGGCGGGTTTTAATCTTGCCGCTGCTGTCTCCGGGCTTTACGAGCAAGCGGCCGCCGGCATCAGCTTGTTCTGTTTGCAAAACCGTGTTTAGATTGGGAGACACGCTCTGGTACCCTTAATGCGTTTAATTTGCAGCCCAAGGCCACAGAAGATGCGCTCGGCCTCACTGCAGCAAGTGAAGAATAAGGTCAGGGGGAAAATTAGGGAGTTTATGAGAAAAACAACCCTGCAGAGTGGGAGGTGGGAACTAAGATATCTGGGAGTGTTACGGAAGGGCAGTAAGTCAGGGGGCAGGAGAGGTTCTGGGAGCCATTACTGACAGCCAGCTGGTTCTGAAGAGACCTTGCTAACAACTAGATAGTTCTGGGGAGATCTTACTGACAGCTAGATGGTTCTGGGGAGCCATTACTGACAGCCAGCTGGTTCTGTAGAGACCTTACTGAAAACTAGATGGTTCTGGGGAGGCATAACTGAGAGTTAGTTGGTTCTGGGGAGACCTTACTGACAGCTTGCTGGTTCTGGGGAGACCTTACTGACAGCTGGCTGGTTCTGGGGAGACCTTACTGACAGCTGGCTGGTTCTGGGGAGACCTTACTGACCTCCATTTAGCTCTGGGAGACCTTATTACCATCCATGGCCTTTGTGTGTGTTTGTCTCTTTCTGAGTGTGATTATCCGTGTGCTTTTGTATACGTGTGTGTTGCTCTGCAGATGACTGATCACTGTCTAATGACGCCCCCTACAGGAGATGACCCATTCCTGGCCCCCTCCTTTGACTGCAATCCACACACCAGGCAAAGCGGACCAGAACAAATTCCCCATCCCATCCAAGGTGACCGCCTTTGCCCCACACTGAGCCGCCCCGCTGCTCACAGCACCGTATCTGTGTTCTCCCAGCATGCCTCGGTACAGCATTCTCACATAGGTAGCGTCCCGCCTCATGACCTGGGCCTCCTTTGGGTGCGGCGTGATCAAGGCCCATCCCCCTGTCGGAACGATAATGTCATGCTCCTTTCCTGCTATTTCTGGATCGGTTGCCGTTTGAGGAATGATCACAGATGTAACGGAACTATGACCGTCCCTGGTGTCCGTTCTTCTGGATCTCGATGGGATGGGGGGGGGGGGGGGGGGGGGGGGGGGGGGGGGGTGATGTGCTGCCCAGACTTGTTTGTTCATTTAATGATTTGGCAAGCTGTCCTTTGAAGAAAGAATAGTGCAGATGGTTTATTTAAAATTGGGCCTTAAACCAAACTAGCGCCCCCTATAGGGCCAGCTGGGAGTGGTCACAGCCCATTGAGAGCATCAAGTAGTCAGATTGGGTCAATCCTCTGTAGAAATGATATATCAAAGCAAACAGCCCATCTCTCTGATGACCTCCTTTAACCATTAGTGATTATTGTGCCTGATTGCGTGACTCACCATGACGTCATCCATTGTGTCCCCCGTCCCTACGCCCATTCCTCATCCTTTTACAGCTGAATCCCTTTATTCGTGTTCTAATTGGGATCAGGTTGAATTTTTTAGCTTTAACCATGTGGCATTTTTCATAAGGATCTGTGTCTGTAAATCTGTGTTTAATGGCACCGCCCTTCAGGTGAGACTACCCCTGTCTCACTCTCCATCTGCACAGTGATGTGTGATTGGTGTTTTCTGTCTGATTGCATCACTACCAGATCAGGTCACTCCACATGTATTGATGCAGTAACGTGTCACCTGTACGATGACCTCCACATGTATGATGACCTCCACATGTATGATGACCTCCACATGTATGAAGACTCACTAGTCTCTCCACCCCCTGCCTGTCTCCCCTGTTTAGGATCCTCAACATCTCACCTCAGGATACAATGGACAGAGTAAGTCTGCTTTTATTTTGCTTTCCAGATCTTCCTTAATTTTTATGAAGACTAGCAGTGGCTCATTGTCCTCCACGGTGGAAATGTTCTGCCGTGCAGCACTTTCTTAGTGACGCTAATTGGCAGCATGCCAGCCCTGTGATGGCACTGAGCTGATGCCGGCCCGTGCTGACGTTTCCACATGGCTTTCCGTTACAGAGCGGTGTGGCATCACCGGTAACAAGCCCCCCACCAAGGCTGTGCCTCAGAAGTCGTGAGTATTCATTTTATTAATTATCTGGTGCGGCAGGGGGGACCGCTGACTCCTCTGTGGGATAAGCTGCCTGACACTGGTGCCAATTGGTGTGAATGCTGCAAGACACAGCACAGAAAATGGGAAACATTTGCCCTCTGCCTAACCTCTGGCAAAAAGACTTCCCTGTCACATGACTGAATGGCCCCCAGTCACATGACTGACTGGCTCTCCTGTCACATGACTGGCTATGACAGTCGGAGGCAGGGGCGCCGCTAAGGGGGGGAAAGTTGGGACAATTCTAAGGGCCCACGCCCTTTAGGGCCCCCCAGAGATCTGCTTTATTAATAATAAGTTACCGTAGGGGGGCCCAACCTCATATTTTGTCATAGGGCCCAAAATTGCTAGCGGCGCCCCTGGTCGGAGGCATGCCTGGCTAACTTGCCAATTCGTCTTTCACCGAATCTCCAGAAGTGAAGATGAAAACATCGCAGGTTCATATCCGAAAATATTGCTGTACAGGAAAATATGAAATAAAATAAAAATGTAATCAGTGTATTTTGATTTGGAAAAAACAAGGCAGGTGACTTAACTGATAGCTGAAGCTGCATTTTCCATCATAGCCCAGAAATGACAGGGAGTAATTTCCTGAGAGACGGAGTCCGCAGACGGAACCAAGCATGACAGTGAATCTCTCTGTTGACCTTTGCAGCATCACTCTCTCTCTTGTCTCTCGACCACTCCACTGTCGCCCTGGGAAGTTCTTCTCCAGGTGGCATGCGCTGTAGCTCCGGCGGCCCCATGACGCACGTCCTGATGCTCGTTTCAGAGGCACTGTGGGAGAGAGGGATCCTCAGAAGGCCCCGGTTATGATGTGCGCGCTCAGCCCCTGAAGGATTTTGGGAATTGGGCACATAGAGCCCTTCTAATCCACAGACTAGCAGATTAGCTTTGCCACGTGCACACGGCAGTGGGGAGTTTAGCAGTTAAGGACATGGTGACTTCCTGTAAGACTCACAGTGCATAGGCTATTCCTGTAAGAGTCACAGCGATCAGTGCATTCCTGTAAGACTCACAGTTCATGGGCCATTCCTGTAAGAGTCACAACAATCAGTGCATTCCTGTTTCCTGTAATACTCACAGTGCAAGGGCCATTCCTGTAAGAGTCACAGAGATCAGTGCAATCCTGTAAGACTTACAGTGCATGGGCCATTCCTGTAAGACACACAGCAATCAGTGTGTTCCTGTAAGACTCACAGTGCACAGGCCATTCCTGTAGGCGTCATAGCGATCAGTGCATTCCTGTAAGACTCACAGTTCATGGGCCATTCCTGTAAGAGTCACCGCGATCAGTGCAATCCTGTAAGACTCACAGGGCATGGGCCATTCCTGTAAGACACACAGCAATCAGTGTGTTCCTGTAAGACTCACAGTGCACAGGCCATTCCTGTAAGCGTCACAGCGATCAGTGCAATCCTGTAAGACTCACAGTACACGGGCCATTCCTGTAAGGGTTACAGCAATCAGCACATTCCTGTAAGACTCACAGTGGTTGGAACATTCTTGTAAGACTCATAGGGATATGTGTGTTTTCCTGTAAGACTCACTGTGCTTTCTCTGTTCTTGTAAGATGCTTGGTGATTGGTACATTCCTGTATGATTCACAGTTATTGATGCATTCCAATAAGATTCAGAGTGATATGTTTGTTTTCTTCTAAGACTCATAGAGATTGGTGTGTTCTTGTAGGACTTATCGTGAATACAGCACTCCTGTAAGGCCCACAATTGGTACTTTCCTATAAGACTCACCGCGATTGGTACTTTCCTGTAAGACTCACCGCGATTGGTATATTCCTTTAAGCATGAGCACTCAGCCACAAGGCTTTTAGAGAACTTCCCGTATGTACAACAGAAGGCTCCACAGATGCACAAAGCTATCGCTTGCAAATCATCCAGCTATTCTGATGTGTGTGTGTGTTTTTTTAGATTAAGACTGAAATAAACCAAATCCTCCTACACAAACCAGCACTGGTTGCGGGGGCCTCGGCGTGCTGTTTAACTACGACACAGGGTGATAACATGGCTCTGCTCCCCTGCACCACCGATCGCAATTGCGGTCATTTACACCGAAGGGGTGTGGCCACGTAGTGACGTCAGCACGGAACAGTCCGACATGAGCGGCCAGGCATAAAATGAGGTGACGTCACCGCGGACAACCACCCGAGCCGTTGAGGAGGCGGAGCGTGAAGGAGTGTGTGCAGGCAGCTCATTCCGAGCAACACACCCGCCACACGCTCCGGGAAGCAGACGGATCGTTGAATCTGGGAAAGAGAAAACATCCGACTCCAAGCGGTCAGGAATAATTACCAGTCCACGGTCAGGGTTTGAAGTGTAACCGGGTGCGGCGGCTTAGAGAGGCCTCCGCTGTTTCCTGGGAGAGAGGGCAGACAGCCTCCAACTCTAACGATGCCTTCGAGCTTCCAGCCCGGTGCGGCCTCACGCCCGAAACAGACTCCCTAGCAGCCTCCTGTAACCTTTTCCACTAGATTAAGATTCCAGACGCTGCCATGGAAACGGAACCTTGAAAATGAGATCTCTGTCAGAGTGTGGGAGAGGCAGTGTCTGTCCCTTTGTGTTTCTCCAGTGCCGAGTCCGATTAAGCTGGCCATAATCGGTAAGGCAGTGTTTGAATAGGTATAACGCGGTATCCCACCGCGAAGTGTCAAGTATAGAGTTATGGTGAGACTCTCCAAACACCAAAGTGGCTAAAGATTAAGTGGAGATCTAGGGGACAAATCTGGTGTGGTTGATCGTTCACCTGGACCCTGGAACGGCACCTCTGAACTGCTCGGTAACTGGAATTTCCGCTCTTGTAGGTGAAGGGGCCTTTTGTCATATCTACCTTGCAGATGCAATGAGAGCCTCCTCTTGGCTCAGGAGATGAATTCTGCAGCGGCAAGTGATGCGCGATGCAGTGGGGCCTCGCGGTGGACAAGGAAGACGTGTCCCGTAAACCCCAATCAGAGATAAATCCCACAGCCCAGTCAGGGATAAACCCCACGGCTCCATCACGGATAAACCCCACGGCCACATCAGGGATAAACCCCAAAGTCCCATCAGGGATAAACCCCACAGCCCCATCAGAGATAAACCCCACGGCTCCATCAGGGATATACCCCACGGCTCCATCAGGGATAAACCCCACGGCCCCATTTGGGATAAACCCCAAAGCCCCATCAGGGATAAACCCCACAACCCCATCAGAGATAAACCCCACGGCCCCATCAGAGATAAACCCCACAACCCCATCAGAGATAAACCCCACGGCCCCATCAGAGATAAACCCCAAAGCCCCATCAGGGATAAACCCCACAGCCCCATCAGGGATAAACCCCACAACCCCATCAGGGATAAACCCCAAAGCACCATCAGGGATAAACCCCACAACCCCATCAGGGATAAACCCCAAAGCACCATCAGGGATAAACCCCACAACCCCATCAGAGATAAACCCCACGGCCCCATCAGAGATAAACCCCACAACCCCATCAGGGATAAACCCCAAAGCCCCATCAGGGATAAACCCCACAGCCCCATCAGGGATAAACCCCACAACCCTATCAGCGATAAACCTCACAGCCGCATCAGGGATAAACTCCACAGCTCTGCAGCCCCAATTCCCCCACTGGTGTGGTCAAGTGTTCCCTCAGACGTGGATGTGGACTTCACCATATTTTTCTTCCTGGAAAAAAGCCCAGATTGAAATATTGATTTTCATCCCTTTGTCTTTGCTGGGATTATGGGGTGTATTTTCGTGTCTCACATTTCTGCCGATCATCCATCTTCCCCTCTTATCGCTTGCCTGCTGTCTACATTCCGGTGGGGAGCAGTGTCCGCAGGCCTCTGTGCCTCACGTTTGCATGTGAGAAGGGTTTTGCCACAAGGGGGCTCCGCTGCCGTGACTCATCCATGGTTAACGGGGTCGACAGAGTGTTCGTTTTCATGCTGTGGGGGGACTGTGCTGGCACAAACCTGCAACTCTACCCACTGGGATAGAAAGTGTGTGTGTGTGTGTGTGTGAGTGTGGGGGGGGGGGGTTGCCCCTGGCAACATCCACTGAACCACCACGCAAGTGGAGAAGCAGGTGTGTGCGCAGGCATGTATAACTGCAGGCACGAGCATGATGCAGGCACACGTGTGAATGTACACGCGTGTCTGCACCTGGTCTGTGGGCACGCGCACACAGACCAGGATAGATTAAAAACCCAATACGGTAAGAAAATTTTTACAGGCATTTTAACTCCTTACAGGGTCTTTTTATATTTTTTGTAAATAAAATATCCCCACAAAAAATCAGCTTTACTATTCTGGCATCAGCCCCCACCTAATGTCCAAATAAATATGTGTCTGCGGTCTTTGTTGGGTAGTTCCTCCCTCTACATCTACTGTTATGTTGTATTTTTACTATACCTGTAACTCTTATAGGGAGATATTTAAACGCGAAAGATCACCCACGTTAAAACATAGCAAAATCTGTGATTTTGAGTCAGATCTCATCCTGGCCAGCTGGTGGTTCAGCTGAATGAGATTCAAACAGTGCTCAAGTGTCTGAGACACAAACTGACGACCCCCCTGGGTCTGCTGGCCGATGACTGCACTCCAGAGGGCCCCTACCAGACCTCTGATTCATTCTGTTCTTATGTGGCTTTCAAACAGATGTGTGCTCCGCCTCTGTATATTTTGAAGGAGGTGTGCTTAATGGGCTGCCGTGGGGAGGGCTTTAATACACAGCAGTGTTTCACACCCCAGTGACACCGGCCTCTCATTTCACAATGTTGTATGGGGACTATATTATGCATTGGAGCCGTCTGTGAAATTCCAGTGGAGTCGCCTACTGTAATGTGCCTGTTTGTTAGCATAATGCTAAATGCTACAGACAACCGATCGGCTGCCTGTTAGTTCTTAGGCTAAAACCAGCTGGTAACTGGCTGTCCAGTGCGACAGGCAGAGCCACAGACACTGGCGGCTTCTTTAGATGTCCCTGGGGCATTTTTAGGATAATGGGAACGCCCCCACTTTAAACCCCCCGCCCACTATAAAATGCCCTGCCTCTTGTTTACATAGAATAACCCACCCAGTTTAAAACGCCCTGGTCGATGTTTACACAGAATAACCCCTCATTTTAAAACACCACGCCCCTTTCTTACACAGAATACCCCCCACACACCCCCCTCTTTAAAACACCCTGCCCCTTGATTACACAGTATAACCTCCCCCCCCCATGCTTCACTGATCAACTTGCTGACTTCTTTGTTGTGGGATTTTTCTTCTTTAATTGATTTTTTTTTTAGGTCTTAGAAGAATGTCATGGGCATACCCACACACACACAGAAAGACACACACACAGAAACACACACACAGAAAGACACACACACA